TTTTTTATGATAAGATAATTAACCAAAATAAACGATGATAATGTTAAAGTAGAAAAAAATATATTTATTTATCTTAAAAATAAAAAAAATAACAATTAATTTGATAAAAATTTAAAATAAAAAACTAAAGTTATTTTGAAGAGAAAAGTGTTATACAAGAGATCAATTCAGGAGCATAATATCTATTGGAAATGCTACAGGGAGGGAGAGAGACTCATTTACAGCTAAGACTTTGTTGACTTTGTTTGTTGAAATTTCTTAACAAATTTTTTTCATACATTATTTTATCTAAAAATATAAATTTTTAATTTTTAATTAAATCTTATTAATTTTTTATATACTTTTATAAATTTTAATTAATAATTTTTATATTTTTAGATGATAAAAAAATACTGTAAAAAAACCCTACTATAACAACACAGCACCACCAAACCAAGTCTAGGCAAAACTGATCGAGGACTTATGTAACAAAATAAAGAATGCAGCCTGAATTGAAACTTCACTAAGAAGTTGAAAAAAAAAAAAAAAAAACTTCCAAAACCGGAGATGTACAAGTGGCTTTTTGGCTTCGTGGTTTGATTAGGTGCCAAACTGAAGCCCGAACGCAACCCGCGAACAGCCGCCTGCTAGATTAAGGAGCAAGATGAGCGGCCGGCGAAGCACCAAAACCGATACGCCTGGAAGCCAAACTTCCGGCAAAAAGATCAACGAGATGGTAAATAACATCATATTAGTTCTTTTGCTTCTCAAAAATCAAAAAATCGCATTCGATTTTCGCTGCTAAAAACAATTAAATCGCCAATATTTTAGCTTGTACTCGTTTTAGGAAGTAAGCGGAAAGTTTAAGCCGTACTCGGAGATCACCGGAGTCTGCCATCGCTGCAGAGAACAGATCTACTGGAAGCGCCGGTACGGAAAATACAAGCCCTCATCGAGCCTGCCAAATGGTATCTTTATTATTGCCTTTTCTGTTTTCTGTAAACGATTTCTTGCTTTCCGAATTCAAAATGCTCCCTTTAAAAAAAAAGAAAATCAGATTTGCAGCGTTGAATCATTGTTTGTAGTTAATCATTAGGTTTTCTTCTTTTTTGCAGCCAGCAATGCTCCAAGCGTAATGTTCGTCAGGCTTATCACAATCTATGTTCCGGTTAGTTTTGTTTATGATTTCTGACTTCTGAGTAGCTTTCTTTTGTTTGATTGATAATTTTCTTTGAAATTTTGTGTGCAAACAGTTTAATATTAATATTAAACTGGGCAATATCGTTGTATGTGGAAGGTGATTGTTTTGATAGGAAAGTTACATCTTGAGGAAATAATCCAGGGAAGTTCTTTTAAGACAATTTTCCACTTTAACGTTGATTTAGTCATTGACTGAATTATGGTTTTAGGCTGTGCTAAGGAGCAAAATGTATGTGCAAAGCGTTGTTGTCGTGTGGATCAAATAATTAGAAAGGTTGGTCTTTTCTTATACAAAGCTTTTTGATAACTTGAGGAAATTGCTTTTGCTTGATCTGTTTTAAATTTTAGGGACTCTGCTGAAAGAGAGGCTGAGCAAAAAATGCTTGAGGAGGTTTGTGTGGACTTTTGAGATTGTTTGCATTTTGTTTTGTAATTTCTATGTGATTGTTTAGTGTTGTTTCTGCATGGAAAACTAACTTTGAAAATTTTTTTGACAGGCAATCAAGAATGCTTGAGAGAGGGACAGAAGAACCTTGTTACGAGCTGTAAGTTTCACAAACCACAGATAATTCTCTTCTAGTATGCCCAACCCAGCCCCATTTTTTCTTTTCTTTTTTTTAGTTTGATAGAATGGTCATTCTTACTTTGTAATTGCTACTTCAGTACAATTTAAATTTCCTTAAAAAACCTAATATAAATAGAGCAAAAACTTAGAATCATTAACTAACAACGGTAAACCTGAAAGTTTCGCAAAAGTTGTCCTTACTGTATTTTAGTGCTGTCTAGTAGAGTAAAATTTTTACCTTTAACATTCTCATGAAAGCAAAACTGAATACCATCATTTAAGGCACATGTGGGTTTCACTACATATCTTATCTGCTCAATTGTAGATCATGTATGAATATTGACAAGTTTTAGATTGCTAAAACCCCTCTTTGATTTTGAAATTGCAATTTCCACTATAAATGATTAGGGGGTGGTTGTTTGGTATGGTCGTTTGAAATTAGAGGTTGGCAGTTTGAAACTAGAGGTTAGCAGTTTCATCTAATCTAATAAATAAAAGTGTTTGAATTACTAATAATAACAATTGTCGACCATTAAATTAGACAAAACCACTAATCGCTAGTTTGAAACTGCTATATCAAACAGCCCATTGACATTTTTTGGTAAAGTTCCTCATCAGGAGAGAGAACAGTAGTACCAAAGTATTTTTGAATCTTAATTGACCAGAATTATAAATTAGATTAATAGAATGAATGTTGATAAATGCCGATATGATACCTACTCTATAGCAGGAAAAAAAATTCTTTAGCAGTATACTTACTCTTCAATCTTCTTTCTGCGTACCTTTTGCAGTTAATTATTCTTTTCAGTGGTGTATGTTGACATTTTTACTGAAACAGCCGAACAAAGATAAATCTTAAAGTTCAGGAAAAATCACAACCAACAAAGAGAATGGTCGGGTGAGTGAGTTGTTCCCTGAGACATCCCTTGAAGAATATGCCAAGCAAAGTGTAAAGGAACACCATGTCAATCATGATGATGACAATGCTGATGATCATGAGAACAGTAACCCTGATAACAATAATTATGATAGTGAAGTTAATTATAATGAATATGTCAAGGATGGTGAAGAAGATTAAGATGAAGATGAAACTTTGAACTAAGATGGGTATGGGTTATTTTTCAAGATCTTTTCTTCTATATTTCCCTAATCATTGTTTATAAGTTGCAGCAAGTAACTATTTTTTCCCCTTTATGCTGTGGTACGTGGGATAGAATATAATATCATATTCTAGGAAATGATAAGAGTCTCTTTGTTGCGGGCAATGAAGATGATGATCCCTTCAGTTCAGTCCAAGTCTAATGCAATGAACTTTACAGAAAAAGGATGTTGCTTCACCTGGTCAGTTATACTTTGATGAAGAAACCTTGGGGAAGACACCATCACAATCTCCTTTTGCCAAGTTTTCTTTTCTGGATCTACTTGTTAACAGCCCTCTCTAACATAAATCAAGTACGTCCAGTTCATGTGATTCACCTCTTTTGCTCCAAGAAGTTTCAATTCACTTATTTCTGTTGATTTTTTTATTTATGAAAAAAATGGCTTTCTGTAACCTTGCTGCAGACAGTTATCTCTTTTGGTATTTACTGATTAAATTCCTCTCCACTTGAACTGTCTGATTTTTTTTTCAATTCTTTTGAGTTTTCTCTTTTGGTACGCAAGATTAGCAGCTCATTGCTTCAGCTGCAGTTAATAGATCATATAAGTCACCCATATAACTGGTGAAATGTTCATCACTTCTAAATTTTCGAAGAAAAAGAAGCTGTCTTCTCAAGTTAGCTACTATCTTTTTATTAGTTTTTTATTATAAAGAATAATCAAGAAATCTAAGATCAGTCCGTGGTCAACAGTTCTGAGATCCAATGAAAACCAATTATCCGTTTCCTCATACATGACCAGGAAGAGAAAACCTACAGAAAAATGCAGAGACAGAAAGCTTGCAAATCCTGGAAATGCTTTGCGTGCTGCGCCACTGCTATTTTCTGTTCCCTTTGTTCTGTGAGCGTCCTAACAATCTTAATCTCGAGTCCTAACATTGCCTTCCCATATGTATTTTTTAGCATAGCCACGACAACAGCCTCTGTCAATATCTCTCATGTAGTCATGTTGACTCCATTTTCAGACGTTCTCTCCACAACCAAATATCCGGTTTACAGAGCCAAGTTGGCATTCTGCTTGAGCGGCTGCATACTGAAAGTTCTGAATCGAAGGTGCTAGCAAAATTCTCCAACCAAGTTCTTCAGATTGCCATTTCTTTAGACAAGCTCGCAGATGGCTTATCCGGTCTCCATGGCAGCAGCGTTCCTCCCTTTAGCAACGAATTAAGCAGCATCCATGAAGACGTAATTGACACAGAAGAAACTGACGATCAAGAAGGATCAATCCAGGGAATGGTTTTAAGCTCAGGTGAGCTAAGGAATTATGCTTCATTGAAACCAAGTAGGCTGAGTGGGAAGAAGAGTTTCCTAGGAGTGGAGTCCATTAATCCATCAATTGGATTGGCCTGTACTAGAATGGCCTCAAATGTAGATCGTTTCATGAGCTACAAGATCTATGACATTTGCCCTGATGACTGGGACATTGCTCAGAAGCTTATCCTCAATGGCTGCGATCCATTGCCCAGAAGAAGATGCTTTTCAAGAACGCCACTTCGTTACACTAAACCATTTCCTGTAAACTCTTCTCTCTGGTCTCAAACCAGTGGTCTCAACCCAGCGCTCTCAACATCCTGTGGAGTCATTACAAGTGCAATGCCTATTCCTGTCTTGTTTCCAATGGAACAATGGACAGGAGAGGCTTCTTCAAGTGTGCAAGTTGCTTTGATCTTTCAAAACGCGGATGGGAAGTCCAGGAAAAAGAGTCAACTACAGCTGAATTCACCATTGATGAAGTTCTACGATTAAAGCCAGGTGAGATCAGGATCGGACTCGATTTTAGCCCCACGACTGGAACGTTTGCTGCTCTTATGAGGGAAAGAAATGTGACTATTGCTTCAGCTACCTTGAACTTGGGGGCTCCTTTCAATGAAGTGATTGCACTAAGAGGCCTCCTGCCTCTGTATGTGTCAGTTGGGTCGAGATTGCCTTTCTTTGATAACACACTTGATATCATTCATTCTACCATGTTCTTAGATGGTTGGATTGGGATTGAACTTCTGCAATTTGTTTTGTTCGATTGGGATTGGATTCTTCGACCAAAGGGAATTCTTTGGGTTGATCGTTTCTTTTGTAAGAAGGATGATATGAAACTGTACTTAGAAGAATTCTCCAGGCTTGGCTACAGGAAGCTGCTATGGAGGGTTGTACCCAAGACTGATAAGCTTGAGGATGAGCTTTTCTTCTCTGCTGTATTAGAAAAACCTGTTAGAGGTTAAATTCTCCTGGGTTCTTGAAACTGAGGCCTGATAGCTGCTTGTAAAATGAGTTCACAGAGATGAATTTTAACAATTCAGTTAGAAACATCAACGCAATTCCTGACATATCTAGTTGTTCACTGCTCAGATTTGAATCTAGTTATGGAAGGTAACAGAAATATCAACGCAACAGTCTACATTGTTCACAAATTTAACATTTATATACTTGCTATGAATGTAACGGATCACAATTTTATTATAAAGAATCAATACAAAATCAAGCCCCCACTAGTTGTGGCGTGGCTGGATCCAAGGTTTCTTCTAGAAAGAATTATGAGTAAGAAATACAGACTTTATAACCATGAAGTAGGCTGTTCTAAAATGATACAAGAAATTGCTGGAGAATAGCTGAGTTTTTCTGAATCTGGAGATTGGAAGGAAATAATCCTTGTTCACATCATCTAGCAAATTATTGGCAACTATAATGAATCCTTAGCCGCTTTTGACGTGGCTCTCTATCATTAAACAAAAGAACCAAAGCTGTGTGGCGTAGTTGACCATACCTATGAATCTTTTGCACACAAGCGCTCTGAATTGAAGATGAAGATATTCTTAGACTGTGATCAGCTTTTAAGAACAAGAACAATCTAAAGATTCCAGTAAACATGCATTTAGAACGTGTGAGAGTTAAGGTGAGGCAGGTGCAAAATTAACTATAGGACTAGGGCATGGTTCACTATAAAAAAATCTTGCATGAAAGGAAAGTATCCTTACTCAGATATTCATAGGCTAATATCATTGAAGTTCCCCACGCTGACATGCTGAAAAATCTTGGACCCAACCCTCTGTATAGACCTATCCAACCATCATCTGCAATTAGACTTTTCACTACTTGTGTTGTAGAGGGTCGTTTCTCATGCCCCATCACCTAGAATGCAAGAACAACTATTATAAAAAAATGGCATATGAGTAGTTGCACCGTCAAGTGAAGCAGGTCAAGCCAGCAAACATAATATGAATTGTCAACAGGGGTAAAAGAAATAAAGTATATCTACTCTAGTTTTCACTCAAGAAAATAGGCCTCTTAAGTCTTAACCTTCATCTCAAGTCATCTCTGCATCATAATTAGATTGAAAGTGTCAGAGAAAGTGTACCTTATACATTGTTGTTTTAAGGTTTTGGACCACTGGGTTCCACCAACAGTTAATTTTGTGCTTTAAGCTATTATTTCCGTTCAAAAAAATAGATTTGATTGAAAATGCTTTGGCTAGAATTTAGTCTATAACAAGCAAAAAGCCCCAGAACAAATAGGCAGAAAAAATAAGGATAAAATCCAATGCTGAAGCATATATTCTCATAGACAGAATAAGATGTTTTGACACAGTAAAAAGCACAAGAGCAAGGCCACTAAGGGCGCAGAGCATGCTGGTTGGAGAGGCTAGAATCATAACTAGCTAACCAGATATCATGGCTATCGACTGAGATCAATGGGAAAAAGGGGGCTTGTATAGCCAATGTTAGAAGTTGTACTTTAAAGACTCCTTAGTTAGGTTAAAGAAAGCATTGCAAATTCAAAACTATTGTGCCTTAAGCCACAAAGAATATTCAGGTCATAAAGATGAATCTCCAACTGCTCAAATGGCAAGAACTAGAAAGAACTAGTGTTAAAGAAATCTATAACCCCCTCATCTAACCCTTCACACAAATTAAATGTATTAAGAAGCATAAAGTACTCATAGTAATTACAAAATTAAGGGCATACTGAAAGAAGAACTACAGAAAGAGAAAGCTAGTTTGATGAAATATAGCCATAAGATTACCTGTAAACGGGTCTTAATTGTGTCTAATGGAGTTGTGATGCAGGAAGCGGCTGCACCAGCAATAATTCCTCCAGCACCCTGAACTCCCACTATTGTCGTCTGGCTAGGAGGACCTTTCTCAAGATCATTGTCCTTGCTTAAGAAACTGCCAAAAACAACCAGAAGGTTCTAAAGAAGAACTAAATCAAGTATTTGAAGATAATAATAGAATAATAGGTGAAGAATACATCACAATTCATCACAACATAGGTTTTACAGCCATGGCTATGTCATGAATAAAAAAATGACATCCCCACCCTCTCGAAGTTAGGGGATCAAGAAATCACTTTGGTCAAAAAAATGTGTCTAGGACTCTAAGCTAATAATTAGAGTGTTTTTCTTTCTTATATTTGCCAAATTCATATAATTTATGGTTTCTATTTTAATGGTTGAAAAAAGAGCATAGTTATTTCAGTGCTGTACTATCACATAACCATTCACTGAGTAATTTCCATGCTACAGCAATAGTGAGAATTAATTAATAACTAAACACTTTGGTCCTATAAGCTAGCTTTCTCTGAGGGATTAATTAAAAGTAGTTGTTCAATACTTTTTACCTTTTTTTTTTTCTAGAATGTTGTCTATAAATGGTTATAACCTCTTTTGACACATGCAGCTGATAATCAAGACAACATTTTCCAGTTTTTCCTGAAAAGAAAATTAAATCCCTATCCTGCTCTTTTATGTGTGTGTGATGGAGAGAAACAATAATAATTTCAACAGCTATTAACCAGCAACCCACCTCCAGATGATGCGTTGGCTTGAACCATAACTTGCCCACCATACAGCACTTGATGGAGAGTAAGTTATAACTGATAGACCAAACCCTCGGTATAATCCCCGAATTCCATCAGCCTTTATAATCTTACGAGCAACATCCAGTCCCCCATTATACCTTGCATGGCCTGAGTATCCTTGTACCATCAACTTTTGGCTTACCTGTACATAATTGATCAAAAAAATTTAATATCTCCAACATTTCTTTTCCCATTTTCTTGCATGTGTAACAAGACTAGAGCAGAGGCTAATTTTAATTCTTTGATTCCAGACTCAAATCCTAAGAACTATTGCTGCCAACAAGTTATCTTCAAATATGCTAAACATTCTTCAGTATTAATAATTATTAGAATCTGTAATAAAATCACAAACTTCTTCTTCTTCCTTTTTTTTCTTTATACCCAAGGAAGAGAAGCACGTTTGATTTGAGTATATTTACCAAGCGATGCAAGTTACTTCTGCTTTGATAAAAACAGCAGATCAAACTAATGGAGAATAAATTCTCAAATAAGAATATAAACTACTAACCACATCAATTGGAACAAAGACAGCTTGAGAAAAAAGTGCAGCTGTCATGCCAGCAATTCCATTTGCTATGGCTGCTTGTGTAGGTTCCGATAATTTAAATGGTTCAACCATTCTGAAAGCAGCTTCTTTTGTGGCCTCCAATGCTGTTAGGAAAATAATCCTAGTAGGAACCGCACCAGTGATGACTGTCCCAAACCCTCTATACAGACCAGGAATTCCATCTGTTTTCAAAATGCCTCTGGCAACTGAAAATGCACTTCTCTCAATAGTGTCTTTTGAAGCAACCTGAAGTCTGGTTTTTATGACCGAGACAGGGTACAATGCTACTGTAAGCCCTGTAAAGATGCCGGCTCCTAAAAAATAGAACCTAGTCTTGTCAAGCCTGCATCCAAGGACAGATTAATTAGCACAAAGAAGTCACCATACTTAAATTTTATAAAAGAAATATTGGATCTCATAAATCAGTAAGCAATTACAAAAGGAGAGATTTATTACAACCTTGAAGTTATATTGAAATATGATTTTCCAACAAAACAATAGCTAAAGAATCAAAAAGATCTATGCTATGTGGATTATAGAGTTCTCTTGACATAGAAAAAAAGCAACAAATCCAAACATCATTTCTGCTTATATAGTTTTCCTAAAAAGAACTCCAATTTCCATAATTTCTAGCCAAGAATTCCCTCATAGAGTCAAATATGCACAAAACAAAATCGACCAAAAACATAAAAATAGTAGAGAAACAGCAGTTAGGCTACAGAGCTTATTAAAGGGGTAAAATTTTACAAATCCCCTAATAAAAAGAAAAATTCTAAACCCAAATCCACACCCAAAATAAAATCAATGTTAAAACCAACCCATGTTCATATTGTCAACACATGGTCTATTTTTCAAGTCAGAATCAAAATCCAAAGACTAAAATCGATCAAAGTCTCTGACTTTATCATTCCTATCGAAATTAATAATAATGAACCAATTCTGCACACAAAATTAAGCTGAAATAATCAATGTTCCTGAAAACAAACAAAGCACGCAATGAATAGAATTTGAATTGGGCAAAGATGAAGACGTACTTTTCCCAGTTAATCTCCGTCTGAGTCTGAGCAAAGGAAGGGACTTGGGAACTAGATGCTTCCATGGATTCTTCGGTTAATGGATGAATTGCAGATCTCTGGCATTAATCAAAAAAATTCAGAAAGAAAAGAAATCAAATCTGGAAAGAAGAATGTTTTGGGAAGCACCAAATGCAATTGTTTTCTTGGTTTTGTCTTCACATTTCAGATTTCTTGGAGCGAAATCAAATTCTCTTGAAATTTTTATTTATTTAAATGGAGAAAGAAAAAGCAAAACGCGAATTTGGATTCTTATTTAATTTTAAATTTTACTTTCAAAAGGCAGATTTGTTCCTGGTCAAAGGCTTAAAGGTCAATTGGTAATACGCGGCTTCTTAATTTTTTTCCTTTTTAGCCGTCAGATATCTCTTAATAATTTATGGGCAGCTCAAAATTTTTTAATTTAATTAAAGGTAAATTATTTATGTTAAAATTAAAATTTGTAAAAAATTATATAGTTATTAATTTATCTCTTCAAAAATTAAATTTTAATAAATAAAATAAAAATAAATTCTTTATTAAAGTTTCAAGGATACTTTTTGATGCTTTACTTTTTATTTTAAAAAAATATAAAATATTAATTAAAATAAATATTAAATATGTAAAATATATTTTATATTTTTTAAAGGATACACTGTATATTTGACTTCCTTTTTAAAAATTAAAAAAATTACCTCAAAATTATATAATTTTAATAAATTTTTATTAAAAAAATTAAAATATTTTATTTTTAAAATATAAATTAAAGTGTTTTGATGCTTTACTTTTTATTTTAAAAAAATATAAAATATTAATTAAAATAAATATTAAATATGTAAAATATATTTTATATTTTTTAAAGGATA